TTCAGCAAGTCTATAGAATTTGTATAAAAAATGATGTGGATTTTGGTTGACAGGGACCAAGTTGAAACAGGCAGCAAAGATGCAATTGTCAATTCCTAGGGCAGCCCGAGTGGTGTTATGAAACGAGGGGCACCAGTAGGTAGAGAGAGAATTTCTTCCTTAATTTAAAATGCTTTCAAATATACACCAAGGCTGCACTTGATTTTTTTAGAGGATCTTTCTGAAAAAACAGTGTTGGATTGTTTCAGTACCCACTCCAAGGCATGATGATCTGTCTATTCGTTTATTAATTGGCATTGTGTTCTAGACCTGTTTCAGAAATCAAGCTCGTGTGACCAAAAATATTATCTAAATTGGCTGCCTTAACATGGTGTGATGTTTCTGACCCATGTATTTCCATCTCAGAAATCAAAAGTGGATTTATTTTCCAACATTGACTTACTATACAGATTAAAACCAGAAAGTTGCTATTGCAGTCTTCCTTCTGAACTCGAGTTTCAGTCAGGAGCTATGACAGCTCAATATTACTTATAAAAATTGTGTTAGTTAATATAAGTTTTTCAATTAGCCAATACTTTGGTTAAAGACAGTGACTTCAGTTTTCTCCTTTCTTTTCAGCGTGAAACTATAAAGTATCTTGTCTAAATTCATGGATATTGTGAAATAAACATTCCAACTATGAACAGAAAGGGTTAGAAAGGTTTGGCTGTATAGCATAAGTCCTATGGACTTAAATGTTTTTTTTTCCCAGACGACTGTTGCAATCATATGCGAAGAGCTACCATACCAGCAATTTGTACAAAAAATAATGTAAGGTTGTTTAATGCTGTGGATTTAAGTTACAGTAAATATAATTAGAACTAAAGGTTGAAATTGTTTCAGTTACAAACTTGGTGCAAGCCCTGGTGCTGGCTGAGCTGAATCAGCTTTAAACCAAGGACTTCAAATGTAACCTATATTATATTCAATAGAATAGTTTGTTTTCCAAGTTTCATGTAGCAGATGAACAACATCCTTTCACTAAGAAAATCTACCCTCAAAACATATGGCTAGTATATAATTTTCCATCTGAATCCTTTACTTTGCTGTCTAGATTGACATCACATTCTTAGCACTGCAGTATTGGGAACATTTTCCAATACGGTCAACACAAGCTTGATCAGAAACATCATTTGAATGGCCTGGGATGGAACTACATTGTTCGACCAACATGGTTTCATATCTTCTAATTGTTATTACAAATAGTTTAGAAGCTGCTATCAGGCTGCTTCAAGAACACACAAATAAACCTAGTAACTATCAGTGTATCTGCAGAGTCTAATGTTGATAATTGATTGGCCAGTTCAGGAAACTGGTAGTTCTAATTTAGATCTCATCAACATTGCCATAGTAAATGGGGGTTGCAAGCAGTGCAGTCTATAGCAATCCATTAGTCCAGTGTTCCTCAACCTCAGCAATTTTAAACTGGCTGAGGAATTCTGGGAGTTGAAGTCCACACATCTTAAAGTTGCTGAGGTTGACACACAGAGCATTAGTCATTTGTAAGGTTCCTGTGGTTTCAGACAATCTGTACAGCCTTTTGCTTTAGTACCAAGAAAAAAACTTGAGTGCAGAAAAAGTTTCTTCCTGCAGAGATACTCTCTGACATTCCATGTATGAGGAATTCTGTTTGTTCTGTGAATAAGATGTATAACCATTCCAAACTTTCATGAAGACAAATAGCAGTTGTATGCCATGCACTTTTAATTTCCAATATTACTCTACATAAACTTCAAGATGAAGGATTGTAATGATTTTTACTTAACTGAAGGCAATCACCAAATTGCTGCTTGGTCAGTTCCTGTTTTTAAATTTATTCTTATGTGGTATATTTTATCAGTTTTTGCTTTGTATATTGGCATGATTTATTCTGTGTAATGTACAATTTAACATGGCTATCCTTCTGCCTTTTTGATCTATACTATTTTTAACCGTTTTTTTTGGATACACCAGGATACTGAATTCTATAAAATTCTCATGGTACTTGTCTATTTTCAATGTGTTTTTTTTTTTAAAACCTGTATTTTTGTATGTAGGAAAAATCATAAGCTTTCTGAGTACTAATCTCATATGGAATCATTGTAAAGGATTTAATAAATGGGTAGGAATAACAATCTTCAATTTTTGACTGTCTGTGCCTTGGGTAACTTATACCCCATCATTTCATTCTATCTAAGAACCTGTCCAATATTTCTAATGAGGGTTTGAATTTGTCATTCTTTGGGAAGCCAAACAATAGCTGGTGGAAGAGTCTAACGTATGTTGCACGTGCATGCTCTGATAACTAGGAAAAGCTCTTACCCTAGCAGCTGCCTGGAACGATGGAACCACCACTCCAAGCAGAAGGTTCAGGGGGTGTCCTCTGAATGAACTGCCCAGCCCTAATGCGTAAATAATTGTTTACCTCCCATGCAACCCTTTCTATTGTAATTTCTCTATTTTTAAAAAGTGCCTAATATAAACTTTTTGTTTAAAGCTAAGCCATTACTTTAGCAATTATGAACACCCTAAAAGGGTTTGAAGTGTACCGTCAAACTTCCCTCGACGCTGATATCTTGGGGATTCAATTGCACAGTAAATAATTACTTGAGGCAAATGTATCTTTCTTTTTATAAAATACAGTTACAGTTAAAACAGGCTAACATAGTATCAAAAGATTACAAAATTTGGATAGCATAAGATTCACATAATCAAATAACTAACCCATTTCTAAATCAGTTTATAAGCAGCATGTCTATCTGAATCATGCAAGTAAATACAAGGAACCAAGCTGCTCATTTTGTATAGCTGAAGTGACTTCTGCATGTTTCCTTTTATACTGTTTCTAATTTGTTAGTCTTATTTTGGACATAACCTGAGATTACCCCAATCTTATGTCAAGCATCCTTATCAGTGTACAAATTCCTGAAGAAAAAATTTATAGGTAAAATTATATTCCAGAGATGCTATTTAAGAAACAGACAAGTAATGTATGACTTAATAGCCTTCATTTTTATGATTCTGTCAGTACTGATTTCCACAGATACATTAACACTATATGCCAGCCAATGAAACACTGGATACCTTTTCTCAGGTTATCTTTCTATTTCTGGAAAGTTCATGGTCCATAATCAAATGTTAGTTCTTGGACATAGTTTCTGATCAACTAATCTCTCCCCCTCCCATCAAAAATGTTATCTGTGATTTTGCATATTATTCAGTTCTTGAATCCCATTGTTACTAAGGCACCTGAATTACAGACCAAAGTATGTCTCCAAAGATTACTTCAAACAAGAAAAAGGCTGAATGGTTTCCCTGAAGGATCTGCTTTGGAAAAAAATATAAAAGCTGTTAATGGAGCCATGAATAGCCCATTATGATTTTTCTCACATCTGAAATACCTACATCTTTCCAGATAGTGTAGATATTTAAAGTGTGAAAGCTGATGAAAACCTTTAAAAAAAGAAATACCGCTATAGATTTACTCCACTACAGTTCCAAAATGCATTCCTGTTCCATCTGACATGCACTAGGTCAGTGTTTCTCAACCTTGGCCACTTTAAGATGTGTGGTCTTCAACTCCCAGAATTCCCCAGCCAGCAATTCTGGAAGTTGAAGTCCACACATCTTAAAGTGGCCAAGGTTGAGAAACACTGACCTAGGTTATGTTCAATTGAAGAATCACAGATTAAACCACATGCAAATGCCTATATAAAAAGAAACAGATGGTAAAACGCTAAGCAGAAGAATTCTAGAGGCACACATCCTCAAGCACAGCTAAACTGTTGTGTTAACCCAGTTCAGAAGCCAGCCCTCTGGGTCCTTCTCTTATCGCTAGGACCTGCCTGCAGGATTTATCAAAAGACAAGACGTTTGCTTTGCCTTGATAACTACCTACCTACAAAACTAATAGAAATCAGGACTAAGCATATTACATACTGTGTAATGATATACTGCATCATAGTTTCAATAGATTACAGGTAGTCCTTGCTTAACCACAATTGGGAACGGCAACTCCATTGCTAAGCGACAGAGTTAAGCAAGACATCACGTGACTGTGACGGACTTATGACCTTACTTCCGCTGCGGTCGTTAAGTCACCGCGGGGTCATTGTGGGAGACATCATATGACCATGACTTGCGATTTTACTGCTAGCTTCTCCATGGACTCGGCTTGTCAGAAGCTGGCTGTGAAGCACACAAATGGCAATTACGTGACCGTGAGATGCTGTGAAGGTCATAAATGCCTGCTGGTTGCAAAATGCCTGAACATCGATCATGTGACTGTAGGGACACTGCAACGGTTGTAAGTGGGAGGACCAGTCATAAAGTTACTTTTTCAGTGCTGTGGTAACTTTGAATGGTTGCTAAACAGGGCAGTTGTTAAGCAAGGACTTACCATACACATGGGAGAAAAAGGTAGAAGCAGGAATTGTATGCCTGGTTCACACATCATACTTCTTCCTGAGAATCCATTTGGTAATTCTAGTTTTGGAGCAAGAGAACACGTATACCTTATCTTCTCTTCAGAAAAGCACCACTGTATCTCCCATAGTTTTCTATATTTCATTATTCCTCGTAATTACTGGTGTGGCTGTCAAAGGCCTAGACATTGTGTGATCACTGTCCAGGCTGTGCTTTGGTACTTCTGGTTTCATGAAGCTAGGTGGGCAATCGCAAAAGTTGTGAGAGAAGAGACAGAGCCTTCACTGCATTTATATCTTCCTTGAGGAATGATCTGTTAACATGAGGACTGGTTATGTCTAGGCACATAATTATTTCAAGCAGTGCACTGAATATCTGACAGATGCTTTTAAGGAAGCATCTTTCTTAAAAGTTTAAAGCCTTTGAGTGCTTTAATGTAGCTGTTCTCAACTGAGTCACAGATGTGACACAGGGCCAATCACTGAAATTTCCAGTCTTTAAAACTTATAAAAGATAAATAACAGAATACCTGTAAATGGAGGAGTGGTGTTTTTTTTGTTTCTACCATGGTAAGAGTGAGATTCTTTCATAGAATGATGGGTGGGACTTAACATACAGAAGACCGAGAATTGCTTTCACCTGTACGTTGATCTACTTTTCTTATAGACTTGGTTTTATTCATTAGGGATTTAAATTTATTTTCATGATTGTTGAATTTGCCGAGTTTAAACTGGATCTAAATTTTAAAAGCAATAACAAAGGCCCTTTTTATACCTCCTAACAGATAATCAGGCTATTGTCTTTTCAACTCAAGAACAAAAATCTCAGTATAAGTAGAAAACTCTTTTAAAAAAGCTATTGAAGTTTGTAAGCTTGATCAGGATTCTGTGTCTACTACTGAAAAAGCTCCATGCTCGTCTGATGTAATGACTTTATGTACACCTTTGATAACATATGGAGTCTGTTCAGAAAGGGTTCAGCTGGAAAAGTGTACTTCAATGCTGAATGAGGCTCAAACAGCAGCAGATCAAGTTTTCCTGGGTAAATTATAGAGATTATAATATTCCCAGCATGATTTTGGTGATCCCATTTGTAGTAATACCCATTTGTAAAGTTCACTGAAAAGGTTAAAATACTCAAAACATTCCTTGCTTTTTTTCCATCAAGGTTCTGCCATTCATCAATACCGTGTTTCAGTCTGAATCTGAATCTGAGTCGTCATCTGAAAAGAATTGACGTGAAGAATAATTGTCATAAGAAAAATAGGGAATGGGCTTTTAAAAAAGTGTAATAGTAGAGGACAACTAATAAATGGGGAGTAACCATATTAACTTATTATTTTTTCATAAACTAGAACAGTATTTTTCAAACTTGGCAACTTTAAGATGTGTGGACTTCAATTCCCAGAATTCCCCAGCCAGAACGAACTAGACCAAATTATTCTGTAGCAAGATTGCACTGAAACTCTGCACTTCGCTACTCTAAATAGGCAAGTGTGGTTGGGCAGCAGTGCAAGAATGGTTCAAACCCACCTTCTGATTTCTGTGGCTTGGGGGCATCAGAGGAATCTCCTTGCTTCAGAAACGTTGCCAGGCTGTTAAAGGTGAAATAGACGTAGGCACAGTAGACAACAGTAGCAATAAAGCCAAATACCTGGAGATCAAGATGGAGAAGATACGGAAAACATGACGAGTTCTTAAAATATGGAGAGGGGGAAGGAGGAAAAGAACTATAAGGGGTAGAAATAACAGAATTCAGCCCACACCCTGTGTCTCCATTTCTGGACTTCAACTCCAAAGTGAAGAATACATTCAAATGTTTACAGCTTTCCTATGGAAGCAGAGCAAAATTCAAAAGAGTATGTGACAACTTTTTGTAACTACATCTGGTCAAATTAAGGCTGGATCCCTTGATTAAGAGCCATCTTGACTGTTCAGTTCATGTTGGCATGAGAATGAGGCCTTGAATCCTCCTTAGAGGAGAAAAGGGGGTATCAATTGGATAAATACATGCATAATAAATTGGGGGGAAAAAGAAGAGCATGCTGCTACTTTTTCAGGTGTTGTATGTGTTTGTGTGAATTGTCTTAGAAGCGTATCCTTCTTTAAGAGATCTTTTGCATCTGTAATTCCAGCTCCCTGAAGCCTTTGGATTTTTAAAGAAAGCTTCATTGATGTCAATGAACGCTTTTTACAATGTTTACTTCAGTGCTGGGAGAGCTTTTGAAGGAGAGGCATGCGATTATAGAAGAAAGAATCTCTCAAATCTTTTCTCATATTCCTCCATGTAGCAACGAGTTGAAAAAAAGTATTTAAAAAAAAAAGAACTTCCACTGATATCAATGAAAGGTTTAAAAAAGAGCTGTTACATAAGAAAGTATGGGGGGAATCATAGCTAAAGGGAGATTATGAACCCACTCTCCCCAAAATTACCATGACATCGAGCAATAAAGTGTGAAAAAGGAATTCCCATTACACTAACAGATAGATTTAACAGAAACTTACCCCCGCTGCCTTCGATGCCGTGTCCGAATATTTTGAAACAGCAGCAATTGAGATGGCAAAATATATGATAGCAGCAATAATTCCACACAAAAAATCCTGCAAAACAAACGTCGTCAGACAGGAGACTATGAAGAAGATAAATGAAAATGTTCTAGGTAGGCAGAATTGTCCTTCAGAGATACATTTCAGAAAGAAATCTGTGGCCCTTCACGTGCTGCTGAACTAGTTTCCACCCGGACCAAGCGAGTAGTGATCAAGTATTAGGGATCCTGGCAGCTGTTCCACCACATCTGGAGGCCCACAGCTTCCCCACTAATTCTGCTCCTGGCCAGCCTTCTCTAACCTGGCATGCTCTGGATGGGTCAGGATCACAACTCCTGACAAATCCTACCAGCCAGCAGGATCTGGTGAAGACTTTCTTGCTCTTTGCTGGGACTAGCTCTTTTGTAGCAGCCTCCTTTAATTTTTGAGGGCCATGTGTCCAGCAGTTATGAAATGGAGCAGCAATGCCTTGGCTGGAGCACACCATAAGATCTTCTGTTCCTTGAACCGAGAGGAATCAGATTTGTCATCAAAGGCTGCAAATTCTTGGATGGACAGAAAGGGATCACCAAAATATTTTAATTCGATGACCATATTTGCAGTAAACAGACGTTTAACTCTCTTTTTCCTTTCCTGCAGAAAATCTGCTTTGAGTTTCTTTTTTCTGGCGGAGATAATGACCACAGCACTGGTATTTTGATTACCGAGCTTAGCTAGGTAAGTAAGCTGTTACTATCTATCTGAGTTATGACACTGCAGTCTTTGACGGTAAATTAGATGGCTGGCGGAAAGTAACGAACAACTGGGGTGGAACAAAACTCAATGGCCGTGCTGCATTTTTTCCCCAGTTTTGTTTTGCAAAACAAGCCTCTCTGGAAGGCCAGCATCCCCTTGTGGCCATTGTGGAGAACAAGGAAGATTGTTTTCCTCAAGATCTGGCTCTGCTTCAATATCACAACCAGCTTCACCGTCAGGCAAGGCTACCCCCTCATTCAGAAAGCAGATTTCAAGAACAGCTTGCTCAAAAGCCACTGGTGGAACATAATGGGATATCTGACCCCAGGCACGGAGTGCTTTGTATTCTGTGTTTCAGGTTCCAGTAGTTCTCAAGGTCGTAACAACACAAAAAGGCAGATGTGCCCTCTCTCCAGATGTGCTGGATTTCAACTACCATCATCAGGTTGTAAGACAACCTCAACATGCTTTGAATTGATACCATTCAGTCTCCTTCCCCTCCTTCCCTGTCTCTGGTTATTCTACAGAGGAACTGCTACCAGCCCATCTGCTAACCACACCATAGGCTCCAGTCAACCCCATACAGCTACTTACCACTAAAATCCAATAGATGCCTTGGAACTTCTCATCAAGCTTCAGGGAATACGAAACCAAAAAGCACAAAGCAAGTAGAAATGTCAGTAAAGGCACCATCATGAAAGCTGCAGCTGTCGAGGCAATGTAACAGATGAAGATGATAAAGGAGAGGGCCTGAAGGATGCAAATGAGAGAGCCTGGTGGTTAGCCGTGAGCAGGTGTGATTATAAAGGTAGATAGATGGTCTATTGAGGTCCATCGGGCCCAGTGTTCCTGCAAATCCAACCCCCCTCCCACCCTACACATTCACAGCTATCAAGCTTGCTGCACCATCAGAATTTTCTTGAACGGCTCTTCAATGTCTTTTAAGGATATTCAGTTAATAATGCTTAAAGCTGCTGGACTGGAGCTCAGGAGACCATGAGCTCCAATCCTGCCATCAGGATGGCAGACAGCTGGGTGACTTGTGGCCAGTCTCCCTCTCTCAGCCCTAGGACGAAGGCAAAGGCAAGCCTCTTCCAAAACAGGGTGCCAAGAAAACATTATGGACTTGTCCATGTAGTCACCAGGTGTCAAGACTAACTTGAAAACATTAAAAAAAAAAAAAACACCCTCTGTAACTTCCCCCAGACTCCTTTTAAGGCTGCAACTTGTTGCTTCTTCAGCATTAGCCCTCAAAGACTACTTTTTGCAACTTTGGGGTCAGCATCTAATCTGGCAAAGTTCTCGAGGACATGAAACCCTCTCTGCTGATTTTTGCGAGTTGTCCTTACGAAGATTTTGGATGCTTCATGGAAGGTCTAAAGAGCTACTCTTGGCTTTCTATCAGGGATGATGGCCACACTTAAATGTGGAGAGCATACAGCAGATGCTTCCAGGAAGACTTGCTCATTCGTAAAACAGCTGCTGTGGAGGATGTGGCCAGTCAGAAACTACCCACTTACTGGTTGCTTCTCG